ATATACAGTGCAACAAAAGCATAGAAACAAGTAATGTTTGACATTACTCTGAAATATATAGCAAGGCACGAATTTATCACATTACTCCACTACCAGTAAAACATACATGTAAATATTACTACTCTATTACCTATCTCATTGCAGTTGCTGAACGAGATTCAAATATAAAGCATCCACAAGAACGTTTCTAAGATACACATAATTCCTAGCTAGGAAACATTCATGGAGGGCAGAGATATATAGACAACTTATAAGGGGATGGGCGGGGATATGATAACATGAACCATAATTATCTTAAAACCTGACGCGCAAAAGTTGAAAAATACGGAGAAAGATATAGATTATCAATCAGATGAAAAAACAGGAGCAAATTGATATTGCATCTCGACATTGAACTGAACTTTTTTGTACTTAGAATGACCTAGCTACCACCATTCTTGGTTCGAATTCATAAGTTCGAGGCCTAAACATGATGGTCATGTCAACTCATTGATGATTTCAGAACAAAGTATATACATGAAAACATTACTAGGAATGTGATATAAGCAACCAAACTAGAGCAAAGTAGTAAGGATGTGAGAAGCAAGTATTAGATTAACCAATGAGGAGCAATACCCCATGATGTCTCTTCTTCCTCTTCCGGAGGTATACAAGGAATTCCAAAGATAAGATGGGGTGACCTTGTCAAGCAATGCATCGGTTTATACGTGAACGACGTGCCCTGAAGCTGAAGCTGAAGTAAGCAAAATTGAAAGACAGAATCATCAATCAATCACGATATTTTACAGATAAAAAAAGTCAGTTGAGTGTAAACACATACCTCCTCCTCCTGTTGATTCATCTTCATCTGCTCCTTGTTCTTGTTGTTGATGTGATGTAGATCCTCCATCTCTGTTATGAGATCCTGGTTTTCCATCTCACTATCCATCTTCTGCTTCTTGTTGATGTGATGTAGATCGTCCTCCTCTGTTTTTGCGAGACCGATGCTATGAAATACTGTGGTTCAGAACTTAAACTCTTGGTATTGAAAGAGCTTTTAATCCGTTCAGCTACTCCATGAACCTGAAATTGAAGAGGAAAGACAGAAAAAAAATGACTAAAATTTGTAATTCTTTAGTAGATTTTTTCCTCTAGAGAGAGATTGACATTAACCTGTGTCATCTAATTTACCCACAACGACTTGCACCATTTTAGTGGGGATGTACCACTTGTTGTAAAATTTCTTTGCAGCATCTTTGGATAAAGCTTGTATTGACTCTGCTGTACCATAGCTAGGCATTGCATTCTAAAGGATATATATATACATAGCTATTATTAACATGGTGTTTGAGATTTGCAAATAAAAAATATATATGAGGAAACATACAACCTTTGTTCCTGGATATATGTATGAACATAAAATTTGGTTACGATGGCTCTTTACATCACAAGAGAGAAATCGAATCCGGTGTATCATACGTTTTTTTCCTTTTCGAATTCCTCTTGAGTAAAAGTTAAGAGCAAAACAATACCATTAGCAGAGAAAAAACAACAAGTTGTAAGATTCAATAGCCAAACCTTTCTACACATATTTCCCAATTGTGAAACTACTTTCAAGGCATCCTCCATGTTATTCACTGAAAACACATATGTGGTGTCATCATGAGAAAGCTTCCAAGAACTCCAATGAACATTAGTCCCAACAAGAACATGAGAAAAAACAAGTTGCTGAACAACCCACGCCAACTTGTTTTTTATCATGTTCTTGTTGAGACTAACGTTCATTGGAGTTCTCGGAAGTTTTCTCATGATGAGACCACATATGTGTTTTTAGTGAATAACATGGAGGATGCCTTGAAAGTAGTTTCACAATTGGTAAATATGTGTAGAAAGGTTTGGCTATTGAATCTTACAACTTTTTTTTTTCTCTGCTAATGGTATTGTTTTGCAGTAGTTAACTCAAGAGGAATTCGAAAAAGAAAAAAACGTATGATCTCTGTTGTTCTTCATTTTCACAAATGGACCTGAAAAAGCCCCAAAATACAAACTGAATGTACTCACAAAAACATACATGTATGTATCTATATATTATTTCATAGCATCGGTCTCGCAAAAACCTAAAATAATTTTGTTGAAAATCACTTCTAGATCTGATCTAGAGCTAGAGCTAGTCACAAAAAAATATTAACAAAAAATTAAATTGCATACCCTGCCTTGACAATCAGCTTCAACTTTATCGCTCCATGTTTTTTCTTTTGTCCATCCAGTTGCTTGATAAGGTATACAAATCCATTTGCGAGTTGTTCGCGCTTGTAAGGATAGAATGGAGGTGCAGAAACACTCTTCCTCTTCCTCTTCTTCCTCCTCCTGTTGATTCATCTTCATCTTCATCTGCTCCTTGTTCTTGTTCTTGTTGATGTGATGTAGATCGTCCATCTCTGTTATGAGATCCTGGTTTTCCATCTCAGCTACGCCCTTAATGCAATCCTGCTTCTGATTCTCCTTCTTCATCCCCCAAAGTTCCATTCTACGAGTCATTATCTCCAGATCCAGCAACGTCATCAGCCACCGCAGTCTATCATCCATCGCCATAACCCTCTTTTCTTTCCTTCTTCAATTTCAGTTTCAATTACAATTAGGGCAGCACATCCACCTTATCTGTGGCCCGTACCCGTATGTACAATTGGTGCCCCGCCCGATTCATTTGCATTCCGCCCACAAATTTTATTACTTGTATAAGTACTACTCTAGATAGATATTCAAAGGCCCGTTTACGGGCCCAATATTATAATATTTTGGGAAAAATAAGCAAATATCCCATAAAAGTAAAATAATTATAAATATATATCCCTTTACATTTATATCCCATTAAATAATTACACTATATACCCCCTTAACTAATTTCGCTTAATTGATACTAAATCGGTATCATATACTCCCTCCATTTCACAAAGAATGACCTCCTTTCCTTTTTAGTCAGTTTCAAAAAAATGACTTCTTTCCTTTTTTGGTAACATTTTACTTTTTGCTTTCCACGTGGCATGTTTAAGACCACAAGATTAAGGGCAATTTTGTACATTTGACATAACTTTAATTTAGGACCACAAGATTCAAAAGTCTTCTTTAATTTCTTAAACTTTGTGCCAAGTCAAACCAGACCAATCTTTTTTAAACGGAGGAAGTATATTGTATTGGTATCATTAAGACGGATAATTTTGCTGAATTGATACTAAATTAGTATATATATACTGTATTGGTATCGTTAAGGTTTGATGTTAAGAAATTACTCATTAGTCAATGATACTATATAGTATCATTGACTAATGAGTAATTTCTTAACAACAAACCTTAATGATACTATAAAATATATATATACTCTTATAGGATCATTGACTAATGAGTAATTTCTGAATAAGAAATTTTAATGATACCACAACAATATACATATATACTCTTAAAGTATCATTGACTAATATGTAATTTCTGAACAAGAAACATTAATGATACCAATACATTATATATATATACTGATTTAGTATCAATTAAGCGAAATTATCAACTTTAATGATACCAATACATTATATGATACCAATTTAGTATCACTTAAGCGAAAATTATCACACTTAATGAATGGGGGTATGGAGTGTAATTATTTATGAGAGAATGGGTATTTCATGAATTACTTTGGATTTGGATATGAACTTGTAATTATTTTGAATTTTATGGCTCATTTATGTAGTTTTCCCTAATATTTTATATGGAAAAATTACTTGGATTCATACATTTTAATAAATATTACTCATACGTTTTATTTATTGTCATTTATAGCAATACTATGTTAAATCTGCAATATGTATTAAAAGTGAATTATGTATGTAATATATATGTATTAAAAGTGAATTATGTATGTAATATATATGTATTATAACTTTTTTTTTAAAAGATATTGACACATTGTATTATAAGTGTATTAAAATGTGCGATAAATGTATTATCCATCAATAAAACTTATATTATATGTGAATAATAAATTGTTATTTTTGTAATATGTATTAAAACTGTATTATAAATGTATTAAAAATGATTAAGTGAAAAGAAAATATTATTGCTATAGATGGTAAATATTTTTTTATTATAGTATATTTATGTAAGTTTCCCTTATTATATTATAGTATAACTTACAAGAATTCCTTACATTTGAAGATTAATTACATCTTATTCCAAAAGTTTCTCCAATTACAAAAATCTCTGATTCTTATTATTCTCAGATATATTTCTTGGTTTTCCAATATATTACAAATGATATATTATTTAATGGGAGGGATGTATCCGAGAGGGGAGAGATGTATGAAAGGGGATAGGGATATATCTGAGAGGATAGAGATGTATTTGAGAGGGAATAGAGATGTACTCGAGAGGGGATAAGGATCATCTCAAGAGGAGATTTTTGTAATTTTTAAAATGTTAAGAAATTTTATAGATTATCTTAAGTTGTGTATTTATGTAATTTAATTATATTATATATGTTTATTTTTAAAAAAAAGTTAATCATGAATATTTTAGTATTGACATTTCTATCGCTATATATATAAGAGCATGTCATTGAGGGTAAAATGGAAAGCTATAAGTCAGTCAAAGAGTTTCCAATATAGACAAGTGTCATTCCTTTGGGAATAGACTAAAAAGGAGAGAACATCGTAAATCCACTAATTCACAATTAGATACTGTGATCGTTTCGGATTAGGAATATGCGGTTTTCTGTTTTCAATTTATTTGTCTAGTTTTGACTTGATACATAGTTTAAGAAGATAAAAGAGACTTTTGAATTTGTCTTAGATTAAAGATATGTATGAAGTACCAAAATGTCATTTAATCTTATGGTTTAAACATATCAGTCGGAAAGTTGAAACTAAAGAGATGCCAAAAAAAAGGAAAAAGAATTGTTTTTGTAATAAACGGAAAAGGAAAGTAAAACAAATAAATTGAAACACACAGACTAATATTTTGCAAGTAATGCTACAAAGAGCAATTTGGAAAAAATTATATAAATGTTCTACTCTTTCTTGTACTTCCATCTTTTTACTATTTATGTGAACATGAGTATTTAAGAACCATTATGGGGCCAACATAATCTCTAGACCTCAACTTGTTTGGGACAGAAGCGTAGTTGTTGTTTGTTACAACATACTAGCGGCCGGTGAAATCACTAAAAGTGTTGGTTGCAGTAGACGCTGATGATCCTGTAGTCATGGATGCGTCGAATGCTTTACTCTTATCCATGCTAATGATAGTAGGCCTGCTTGGTGCTCTTGATTCTGTGCTACGATCGCTTAATAGCATGACAACAACTTCAGACATGCTTGGCCTAAGATTTGCCGGTGACTGTGTGCACATTAACGCGATCTCTATGACTTTCTTCACTTCTTGTTCGTTGTATTCATTGGGGTCTAATGTCTCGTCCACCAGTTTTACAGGCGTTCCAGTTTCGTGAAGCTTCCATGCCTATTTCACCATGTCACAGATAAATGCATTTAGAATGGGGAAAGAGAAGTTGGATACTTCAACTATCCGTTTAGCTACCTAAACTATCACTCTTCTTGTATGAAAAACACATCTCGATGTTGAGTTGACCAAATATTTGTTCCCAATCGCCAACAGGCTCATGTAAGCCAACTCAATATTGAGGTATGAAACTTGCAAAAAGGTGATAGTTTAGATATGTAAATAGAAAGTTGAGGTGTGGAACTCATGAAAATGTGATTGTTTAGATTTGTTTTATCATTAACTCAAAGAAAAATGGTATATTTGAAAAGAAGAATAGACCTGTTCAAGGAGATATTCAGTGACAGGCTCGATTTGCATATCGTTGCTCCTCCGTCCACTGATTATTTCAAGAACGACAACACCAAAGCTATAGACGTCAACTTTCTCTGTTAGATGTCCATGAATTGCATATTCTGGTGCAGTATATCCCCTGTGTCAATTATATCACATTGAGTTCTTCACATTTTTTTCATAATGCCTTTACTTATATCAGGAAACTCGAGAAGTTCGACTTACAAGGTCCCAGCAAACTTAGTGCTAACATGACTTTGATCCTCAGGTAAAAGTCTTACAAGCCCAAAATCAGCAATCTTTGGCTGGAATTCGTCGTCTAGTAGAATGTTGCTGGATTTTATATCTCGATGGATGATGCAGACGTGGAATTGCTCGTGCAAGTATGCAAGGCCACGAGCTGTGCCAAAGATTATATTGAATCTTTGCTTCCAGTTGAGCATCCCTCGTCTGTCGCCTGCAAAACCATGAGAGGTAATATGAGTTTTAAGACTTTTCCTTGATTTGACTCAGAGAAAATAGAAAGGCGGATAGATAAAAATATCAACCATATAAGTATCTTTCGAGGCTTCCATTTGCCATGTATTCGTAAACAAGTAGTAGGTCTGATGCTTTGTTAGAACATCCCAAGAGACGGATGAGATTGCGATGATGGACATTACTGATAAGACGAACTTCAGTCTCAAAATCTGCTTTCGCTCTGCTTGACATGATTGCTAGTTTTTTAACAGCTACTACATTTCCATTTTTCAAAGTTCCCTGTTCAATAACATTAGAGTCACTAAATGAATAAAACATCGAAAATCGAAGATAATAAATGACTAAAATTAGGATCTTCATCTGTTTTCGTGTTACATACCTTGTATACATCACCAAAACCGCCTTCACCAAGTTTATTACTTTCGTTGAAATCTTTGGTAGCAATTTTTAGGTCCTTGAAGCTGTAGCTCACCGGGCCTCTTAACTCAGTTGCTCCCAGTATATTACCTGAATATGAACTACTATATCAGTTAACAATATACATAAACGAAAGGACGAAAAAGAACTAAAGAAGATACAGAAATGATCATCTGCATTTGACCTCTCTCAGCTGTCTTTGGCTTTCTTGATAGTCGATACCATAGGAAAACAGCCAATATAATCAAAAGAAGTCCTACACCTCCAGCGACACCCCCTATAATGGCGGCTTTCTTCTTGTTTGAACTTCCTACATAAAGCAACGCCACCAATTATAAGTTTGTCTTAAAAAGAAGAGTGAATGGTCAAAAACACGTCTAAAGTATCCCAGTTTTTTGAGTTTCATATCTGAACTATCTGGTGTGCAGGTCTGCTTGAACTATCACCAACTATTTACCAAAAACACACCTCAACTATCGGTTGTTCCCTTTTCCTACCTGAAATATCACCATCGTTCAGGTAGTAAAAGGGAACAGTTGATAGTTGAGGTGTATTTTGATAAAAAGTTAGTGATAGCTCAGGTATGAAACTCGAAAAACCAGGGTACTTTGGCTGTGAACCTGTAAGAGTTGAGAAAAAGAGAGGTTTCATTTCCTACCTCCTCCGCCAAGATATGGTGTGATATCAGTTGTCGAGTTATCAGCAAAAAAAGCTCTATCCGAGAACCTCATAAAACATGCTGCATCAACAGCCCTTCCTTCTGCATATCTTGGTAAACAGCCTTCTATGTTCTTATATGCAACTGTCAAACAATCTTGGCAACCACTTTCTGTTATGCTTTCAGCACACTGTGCTACTCCATAGACAGTAACACCGGATGCTTCCCTCTTTGTAGCTGCAAAGAAATCACTAATTCTTGGAGTTGCTGTACTAAGATCATTCAAGAGTTGTAGTGCCACGGGGCTTAAAGCATTCGATTGAGAAGATGTTCGGTTCCCACAGATCTCAGCATTTCCTGGTTGTGTAGTGTCTTGGTAGAAGTTGTTGCTCTCGTACCTTTTAAAAGGGGCATCGATAGAAACGAGTTAATGATTTAGAAGGTAGTCTACATCTATGTTGCTCGGATCCTCCAAAAAAGGCTGAATCCTCTAAAATTGAACAACTTTTAAAGTATCCAACACACTAGACGATATTTTTTAAGGATCCGAGCAACATAGGTTTATGGTAAAGTTCTACTTTTCACAGTGTTGAGTTTTAACGATCTTCTTTGAATTGAAGATTACCACAACCGGATAAACATGATCTCTCACATCAAACAAGATGGTTTACTTGGAATTAAAACGACTTATGATTCTTCGAAGAAATGATCAAACTAGTAAGCAAGACTTAACAACTCTGATGTGAAAATACTAAGAGCAATTGCATAAAGATTTCTGAATAAGATGTTGGACCAAACTTAAGGGAGCTTTAATCACGTATTCACTGTCCTTAAGGAACTTATTCCCCGCTATGTTGTTTCTTGGTATATGGAAGAAGTATTCCTTCATAGGATTGACATAGTCAAACGAAATTCGAGTTCAACAAATACATAAATCTCCACAAAAAAAAAAACACACAAAATGAGTATTTCAAAGAATTGAGCTGAGAAGAACAACACCACTAACTCTTCTCAATTTACGTTGTTCAGACTCTTTAAAAATATCAACGATTCAAAAGTAGTGCATTCTAAGAGGATCCAACAAGAGCATAACATCATTTTGGAAAGTGCAAGCAGCATAATTGAGTCTATATTACTAGAAGAAACTTATATAGTCGACTCCAACTTGTTTTCAGGTGAATTAAACTCACCTGAGGAAGCAACCATCATAAGTAACACGAGCACCGTTCGCGCCAGAGCAAGTTCTGATGAGAGAAACAGCAGAATCATAACAGGACACACAATCAGCTCTTGACAAATACTTTCTGCATTCAATCATAGCATAAACAGCCTGTTGTGTCGTGGCGAATCGTTTGTCTTGATTAGACAATTGATTCCTTAGATCAACAAAACTAGCATTAAGCCTTCTGAAGAAATCAGGTAAATTTGTTGCATTGTATTGACTGCATCCTCTGCCTAACAAGTTTGTTTGTGGCTGCGAAAAAACCGGATTCTGCATTAATACAGAACCGATAATCACTACCATCAATCGCCACCACCAGACATAGCTAGCCATGTCTTAAAGAGTTATTTGATACAATGAATGGAAATAAGATTAGGTGTTTGAAGATGCAAGGTTAGTTTTATATATATATATATATACATGCATACACAGCAGAAATAGTCAACAATATGTACCAACTCCGTTCGAGATTTAAATTTCTAAATTTTAACCGTGAATTCAGACATAGAAACCTTAATTTATATTTGAAAACTAAGTAAAAATTATCATAAATTACAATAATTAACAACTTATGATATTTAAAATATATATAAAAAAAATCGGTCATGAAAAATTTGATTACTCCCAAAATTGTAAGTGTGTCGCATAAATTAGGACGGAGAAAGTATTATGACAACATTAATGCATGGTCAACGTTTTGATTATCTGTTGGAAATGAGCTAGAAGATTAGACTAGAATATTTTCTGTTTTATTCTTATGGATGTGATAAGAGCTTTTAACAAGAATGGTCCCTGAAATTTGAGGGTAGGTCTATTTTAGTCTCTATTGTTTAATGTTGAGCATATATGCTTCTTTAAGTTTGCAAATGTTAAGCATTTTTAGTCCATCTAACAGAACATCTAGGCGGGTAATGGAAATTTGAAGCTAACGAAAGTTTCAGGAGACTAGAGTAAAAAATTATCTAGATAGAGATTTTTTTTTTTCCCATTGCATGAATGATAGAAAGATTGAAAAATTCAAACAAGAGAATTACTATTAAAAAGATCAACCAGTACTCAAAATAAATCGTGATTGGGGAAAATAAAAATATGAAAGTAGACTCTATTTGTAGTCGTTATGTATAAACACGTGACAATTGTTTCGACGGGTGGATCAAAAGTGCTCAATCTTTATAATGATACCCACTTATTGCCCCGAATTTTGGACCACTACTACTAAAATAGGGACAAATATTGACTTATCCCAAACTTAAGGGACCAGTGATGAAATGACAACCACTCATTGCCTCAAACTTTGGACCAGTACTACTATGATAATAGGGACAAATATAAACTTATCCCAAACTTAAGGGCCCATTGATGCAATAATAACCACGCATTGCCTCAAACTTTTTGTTTTAATAATACTATATGTTATATGATAGATATATATTCTGTTGGGTTTTTTTGGAGGCTTCCTAATATTCTATGGATGCTATTGGCAATTTACGAAAAAGAATTTGATGTGAAAATGAAAGAAATAGCTGCCGATTATTAAATTAAGAATTAAAAACAAAAGCCAATTTATATTGTGTAAATGGAAACTTAGCTTCCCATATTTGACTAGGCTCAAGATTTAATTGATTAAAAAATTCTAATAACTTTTGTTTGTCAAATGATTTAAGTAGGCTTTAAATGTCAAATCTACAATAAATAAAAATAATAATTAGTGATATTTATGAGGTGGGACAGAACTAGAGTGGCAGAAAGAGGTTTATCGAAAATTCTTTATCAAAAAATTATATTTTGAGTATATATTGATGAAAATCTCGTCTTTGTTGTTTATGTATTATCTACTGACATTGTTCAAGTCATAAACTGTTGTAAAGTTTGAATCTTGACTAGTGAGACATGGTCAAGCTCTATGTTTTTCTTTGAATCAATTCTTAGTAGGAAATTGGAACAGTCTCCGATTTTAAAGAAAAAGGAAAGTTTTATATCTTATGAAATCAAAAAATAACTATTATAAAAAATTGTTGAAATTTGCTACTTTGGAACATTTTTTATCATCGTTTAAAATTTTTGATATATCATTAAAATAAGGGATAATTGTATAGAATGACAAACTTATAATCTAAAATAAATGGAATAGCTACTGTTTGATTTAATTGTGCCCCGTAGCAAACGTTTGCCAGTCGCCTCTCTCTCCAAATTCTCGCTCGCCACTCTCCCTTTCTAGCTCGTTCCCTCTGTGCTCGTCTCTCTTGCTTTATACAACATAATTGTATAAATTGTATTTCTGTTTGTATAAAGCGAGATAAAATTGTATATACACATGCAAATACATATATATTCGTCTTATACACTTATAATTATACAATACAAATATTCCCCTACCCAGTTCTCTTTTGCCTTTCTCTCTTTCTCGTTTTATACAAACACATATTATACAAATATAATGTATAATTTATGTTTGTATAAAGGGAAAGAGAGCGATTTTTGATATACAAATATTTTTGTCAATGATTTATACAAACGAGAGGCTAACAACAATTTATACAAATGACCTGACAACAAAATTATACAAATCTGAAGAGGAGCCAACGAATTATACAATTGCTTCTTTTTGTATATATGTATAGCGAAATAGACATAGCTTTCAATTGTATATGTATAGCGAATTATGCATATATATGTTTGCTATGGAGCGCAATTATGCAAACTTTGTTATAGCATACAAATATGATTTTTTTTATTTGCTATATGTGAAAGTTACTCCTAAAATAATACTTAGCATTAATCATAAATAGACATCTAACTAGATTACTGCATTTTTTTCGGTGAATGACCAATTGATGATTTTAATAATATATATTTGTTTTAGAAGATGATTGTCATAACTAATTTGACTGTAATGAATTCTTGGAGTCTAAATTCTATATGCTAATGCCGTAAATAATATATATTTTTTATATTCAGATCACTTATATAGTTACAAGTATTTTTTTAATAAGTATTACAATAATCGATAACATGATAAAAATAGTAAGTAACCTATTAGCAAATTATGTCACTTATAAATAAAGTTATATATCTAAGTGAATGTTTTATAACTATTAATAATTGATAACATGATAAATCTAAAAAAAAAAAAACTATTATCATATGTAATATTTACTATTAATATATATTTTTAAAAATCCACGTGATTAGTATAATATAACTTAAAAATTTCTTCGTGAGAATGGAAAAGAGGGAAGGAGTTAGCAATTTGCTTTTTACCACTATGAATTACAATGAAAAAATTGAGATTTCTTCCATTTAATCAGCGATATCGAGTTTAAATTTGAAAATGGAAAAAAGCATGTTATAAATGCTGCCTCCAAAAATAATTTCTATAAAGTATGGATTTAAATTTAACCATACTCAAATATAAATATCAGACATAAATTAACAAACATAAAACAAATTTGCTTTTTACCAGAAAATTAGGGAAGACAACATAGTTATCACATGGCACGATGGTGACATCAATTAATACATCCAATACATTGAATATAAGTTATAATTTAGTTGACCTACAAAAAAATGACGACCAACAAAATCATATAGAGATTTTTTTGGTTCATTTTATTTAAGTTTTAAAAAAATGGGATACCAATAGGAGTGTGCAAAAACCGAACCGACCGATAAACCGAACCAAAAAAAGTGTTATTGGTTTATTGTTATTGGGTTATTGGGATAACGGTTATTTAATGGTTTTACAAAAAAAAATTATTGGGTTATCGGTTCGTTATTGGTTTTTAATATTGGGTTATTGGGTTAACCGATAACCCATTAAGAAGATAATAATTTACTATTTTAATTTTTAGTTATGCATATATATAATATATTAAAAAAAATATTAATATAATTAGTAGTATATTAGACTAAATATATAAAACCCTACGCAATAATTAACACTACTTAACAATTAACTCTCCTCTCTACTTTTAGTTATTTAACCTTTAGGTTTTACTTTTTAGTACTACTTATTTACTTTAGTTAGTTTATAATTGACTAATATTAGCTTTTGCACAATTGTAAATATCTGCAATTTGATTAACGTTAGGAATTCAAATTGTGTGTGTGTGTTTTTCTTTTAAATAACGTAAGAACTTCATTTAGTTACCATAAGCATGGCCTCATTTGCTACTGTTTTGACTTTTGTCTATGATTTGATTTTATTTGATTCTCTTTATTGCATAAAGGGGACCTCGTTTTATATATATTATGGTGATCGAAAATTAACCAAGTCTTTGTTGTGATGACCATAATACAACAAGTTGGTCCTTGTTGTCCCGTTTGGAATGATTATTTCGATGTATGTGTATCGCGTCAAATTATTGGATAAGTCATATATTTGTTTTGAAAGCATTTTCTTATTGGTTAAATCGAAAACCGAACCATTAAAGACCTAAAACCGATAAACCGAAAACCGATAACAAATATCTTATTGGTTTGGTTATTGGTTTAGCATATTTAAAAACCGAAAACCGATAAACCAAACCGATAATACTTATAACCGAACCGAGCCGAGCCGAACCGACCGATACACACCCCTAGATACCAAGAAGGAAAAAGATGAAAGTTTTACTAAATAAATTTCAGTTATGTATATAGACTATAGTCAATATAAGAAATTTTAGAATTATAAAATATCTTCTCAACTAAAATATTTACTTTATTTAGAAGAAACTTTGCAAATTGAAGAGAAAGAGGTATATTCATATCTTATACAATAGAATTGTAATTCACTGATTATTTAAGATATTCGTTAAATATACATATTCTTCGAAGAACATTTTGGTTCATAATTGACTAAACCACCTTGATTTCGAGATGAAAAAGGTATAGTAATCGATGAAATGCTTCGGAAAAAAAAAAGAAGCATATGTTATCATATTTAAAATTTTGTAGCCGGCATAGGTTTTATGAACTATCTATTTATTTAATTAAATAAATAAAGTAGACGTGACATAAAAGTAGGTATACCATTATTTATTTCCAAAAAATAGGTATGAACATGAATATTTAACTAGCACATACATATTATTTCCTTGATAATTTATAATTTTTAATACCTGGCCATCTCAATTATGATAATCTATATTTTATATTCCGAAAATTAGTTCAAATTCAAACTCAGTTAATAAAAAGTGTTTTTTATCGATTTTTTTTTATTCTTCAACACTTGAATTCGAAATATTAAGGGAGGATTCACGTTCATCCCACTACACAATATTCTTTTAAGTTCGTGTACAATATATTAAGTGGTTTTTTATTAATATTATTATTATTCAATTGGAAAGAAAAAATAAAGAAAAATGAATCACCTGGGGGGAGGGACTTTTGC